TCACATTTCAAAAAGCCGCAAATAGTAAGACATCCATGACTGAGAGACAAACAAGCCATGTCTTCCCTTCCCTTTCTAAAGGCACTGAAGCCCTCCATCGGACAGGCGCTCTAATGGACCTTCATCAGGGCACACAGACCTAGAAGCACTTTCCAGGAGTAGAGTTTAATATTTACATCTTGGAAGACACCAGCTCCCAGCCGCTCTGGGCTCACCAGCCATGCTCAGCAACCAGCATCCCCTAGGCATTTTCTCTCTTGAGAGTTTCTACATTCACACATGGGGATCCCTCAGGTAGGACTGTCCTGTTCCCAACTGCCTGTTCTAGCTGCTCATTTGTTATCCATATCTCCCTTAAATTGTCTTACAACCAGGACCAATATACAAGAGATGCAGAAATATTTGTCTAGAGCGAGCAATTAACTAATTAAACTAATGAACGCATGAGTGTGGCACACTCCCAAGATTCAATAACAAGTTCTTTATGCCCAGCAGCTCTAACTTGGGCCTAGGCTGAGACAGTCTCCCCTAGTCATCCTGACTGTGAAGTGGACGTTTAAGGCATTGCTTACTGTCTAGTTTCTCTAAGGAGTTGAAAGGATGCCTTGGGCACACGAATGTTCAGTTTAATTACTTTTGTGTTGCCATAGCAATACCTGACAGGAACAACTTAAAAAGCCAGCTGTGTCGGTGCCTACCTGCAACCCCAACACCAGAGAGTCAGAGACAGGAGGATGACCACAAGTTCAGCGCTTACTGAGTCTTGTCAGTTCCAGCTCTGTCAGGGCTACACAGCCAAACCCTGTCTCAAATTAATCGTCAGAGTGGGAGAAAGTCTTTGCCAACTATGCATTATTCGACAGGGGATTAATATGTAGGATACATAAAGAACTGCAAAAATTAAACATCCAACCCCACCCCAACCATTCAATGGGCTCATGGACTAAACAGACAATTCTCAAAGGTAGAATCACAAAAGGGAAAAAAAAATATGAAAAACGTTCAACATCCTGAGCCACTAAAAGAAACACAAATTAAAACTGATTTGAGACCCCACCTCACACCAGTCAGAACGGCTGTCATCAAGAAAACAAACAGTTGCAAATGCTGGCAAGGATGTAGAGGATGTGTTGGTGGGAACGCAAACCCATGCAGCCACTGTGGAAGCACACACTCAGAGGACTCTGTCAGCATCCCACACAGACACTGGCACATGCATGTTAAGTTGCTGCACTGTTCTCCATAGCTAAGAAATGCAATCAGCACAGACGTCCATCAACAGATGTGTGGGTAAAGTAACTGTGGAATTTTATTTAGCCATAAAAACAAATGAAATCAGGATGCTTGCAATAAAATGGACAGAACTGAAGATTATGTTAAATGAAATAAGTCAGGCCAGGCGCAGAGGCGCACGCCTTTAATCCCAGCACTTGGGAAGCTCAGGCAGGCGGATCTCTCTGAGTTCCTAGCCATCCTGGTCTATGAAATGGGTTACAGGACAGCCAGGGCTGTTATACATAGAGAAACCTCTGTCTTTAAAAATAATAATAAAAAAAATTTTTTAAATTAAATAAAACAAGACAATTTTGAGGTACCTATATTTAAACTAATATAGGTGTGTGTGTGTGTGTGTGTGTCTGTGTTCTGAAAGTAGAAAGAAGAGGTAAGGTAACACCTGTTCCAGGAAAGCAAAGGGAGCCTGTGTTGAGAAGGGAGGGGACCAAAAGGAAGGCGTGGCATGGGTGAAGTCCATAGAGGGAGGGATGAGTGAGAACAAGGAGTAATGACCCAAATGTATGATAATGCTAATGAAACCCATTGTAAGCTAATTTTAAAAACAATAGTTAGGGCTGGAGAGATGGCTCAGGGATTAAAAGTATGGGTGGCTCTTCCAGGAGACCCAGGTTGGATTCCCAGCACCCACATGGCAGCTCACAACTGTCTGTAACTCCTGTTTCAGGGAATCCAGTGGTGTCTTGCTTCTGAGAACAATGCGTATACGTGGTGCACAGACATACATGCAGGCAAAAACACCCATACACACGAAATAGTACTTTTGTTTTAATTAGAGGAGAGAGAGAGAGAGAGAGAGAGAGAGAGAGAGAGAGAGAGAGAGAGAGAGAGAGAGAGAGAGAGAGAGAGAGAACCAGAGGAAGTAGTTCCAGTGTGGATGGCAGTTATGTGATATGGTCATGGAGCAACATTTCTTTCATTTTATATTTTGTCATTCTGAAAAAAGATGTAGCCTTACAGTTCAACAGGGTTAATGGAATGCCTAAAATTGCACATGACTTTCAGGAGAAAAGAGGAAAGATGAAATGCCCCCACCCAAGCTAGATTCATTAAGAGCTCTCTCCCAGTGGAAGGAAGGGAAGGGATGTTAGAAAGGGGAGGGGAAGGGTGAAAGAAGGAAGGGTGAATTAGTTGCCCACTTTTAATAATTGCAAAATGTCAGACTACAACATCATTATCACATGGGAAAGATCTATCACATTCTAGTAGCAAAACAGAAAGTTATGAATCCATATCTAAAAATATTTTAACTAAAGTTCTTGCTGAGTGATGGGGTCATATGTGATCATTATCTTGTTGTCTATACTACATACATTTCTCTAAGAGTTATGCAGTACTTGTGTAAATGCATGGGTGGGGGGTGAACGTGCATTTAAATTTTAAACCAGTACCTAAAAGCTAAATAACATATGATTTTACGACTGGGTGTGGTGATTGACTTGGAAAGCTAAGCCAGAGGACTCCCTTGAGTTCAAGGTCAGCTTAGCTTAATATTATGTGAGACACTGTCACAAAATCTAAACACACACACACACACACACACACACACACGCATATAAAGTACCTACTGCAACAAATTCATAGAAAAAAGAAAACAGTGATTGCTATAGAGAGTTATTGTTTAATGATTAAAAGTTCAGTTTTGCAAGGTGAAGAGTTCTTGATATGGAAAGTAACACAATGTGAATGTACTTAATACAATCACACTACACATTTAAAACTGGATGTTTTAATAAATTTGGGGCTAGATACAGTAGAACATGCCCAGCTACTAGGGAAACACTACTATGCCTAGGTTATTTTACCCCATTTTAAAATCTAAATATGTCAATTTTACTCACTTGTTAAGTACAGCTGGTTCTACCAGTACCTCACAACTGACAGATGACAGGAGTCAAAGAACCGTGACTTTGGTCTTGGACCACATGGCACTGAGCAACAAAACTCATTGTGTCTACCAGTACGAGAGCGTGCGCTGGGATGCACGTGTGTCTGGCCACAGCATTTCCTGGCTCCCCAGGCTGAGAGATGTTCTCAAGTTTCTCTTCCCACAGAAAAGACCATTCTTCCTCTCTTACCACAATCTTTCAGTTTGACTCTCCAAAAAAGGAACTGTATTACATGCCCAGAAGCAACGATTCTATCAGTGCCTGGCTACACTGGCTGCAGAGATGAGTTCAGGCAAAACTCATGGCTACACCATCATGGGTCAAAGAGTCATGCACTCACTCCCCACCAAATCCTTGAGAGATACCTGGTGGAGCCAGATAAAGGATCCCTATATAAAAGTCAAGAACTAGACTTGGCAAGCAACACTCCCTTTTTCCTTCAAGGGGGCCCTTAATATTTTACAACCCAGAGGGAGTTAACCTGATTCCTAGGCTGAGACCCCAGATCCCTAAGGCTGCAGAAACATGGCCTCAAAGCTGAACCTGGCCAGAAGATGTATTGACTTGCTTCTGTTGATCTTCCTGCATTCTGACTTTCTGTGCCATTCACAAAATTACCTGCTACATTCAAAAAGAGAGGTGTTTATATACAGGAAGAAACATTTTCTGATTCTCTTGGGATAAACTCTATCAAGAGACATGACCTCAGCTATTGTGATGACGTATTTTGATTATCTACTTGAATAGCTTGAGAATGCCTGGAGATTAGGAGAGCATGGCTGTCTCTGGTGTGTCGGTCTGGTGTCAGAACATGAGGACTCAGGCGTATTCAAATGAAGAACCCTTGAAATAGTCATCCTGTGATGGTTTCAGTGGGAAGTGGCAGGATGAACAGGGGCTTTCCTGCAAGAAGCAGATTCCAGGGTCTGGGCCCTTGCAGGTATCTTGCCCTGGCCCCTTTCCCGTAGTCACTCTTTCTGCTCCCTTTACACAAAGGCTGAACAGCTCTTCCCTGCCACGTGCTTCTGCCACCATTATAGCTCAAGTACACAGAACCATATGGCCACAATAGGAACCCTCTGAAACTGTGAGCTGAGATACACCTTTTGTTCTTGGGGATGTTTCTGTTAGGTATTTGGTTGTGGTGATGATGAAGCAACCGTTCAGGCACTCTGGGTTTACAGCAGCCTCTGGGCTGGTGACTGGCTGGAAGTAGGGAGCAGCTATCATTTTAGAATGGGCCCACTCTCCCTGCTCTGCTTCTACGTAGCCCTGCTACGCCGTGGGTTGGAGCCCATAACCGGACTGGAGGCTGCTAGTGAAGGTACTTGAAATCATGACGGCTAGGCTTTCTGCTGTTCTTGCAAATACTGGATGCAGGCCAGCTTGTGATGTGACAGTTACATCCCATGACATCCTTCATGGGATGGCCCTGTGTGAACTCTTAATCTCACCCTAGTCACAGGACAGAGCTCCCTTTCCGGCCATGTTTCCATACTCCACCGAAGTACAATATCTAACCCCTTTTACTAATGGAAAACTTTAAAAAGGAGGCCGTGGTTTTGATCAGTGGTCACAGGCCGTAAGTTCTGTCCCCAACACTGCCTACTTCAGGGGAAGGAGCCAGAACCAAACTTAGCACCCCACAGGGTCGTGCTTTTCTTCTGGTCCTATGGTGGAGGACAGCGAAAGAAGCACCCAGCCACCTAAACACACCGGAGCCACAGGGAGAGTATCTAAAAGGTCCCAGGTGTAGAACAAATTGTACATCTCAGGGTTAAGAGGACCGGGAGAGATAAAGGGCAGCACTTTTCTTACCTGCTGTAGGCACACTAATGTTATACTGAGGTAAAATAAATAGAAAGGCAGTCTTGGCTGTGACCTGGAAAACAAAGGAGAAAAGTTCCTGTTTACTCTCTTGGCCACATCAAAAGGAACAGGAAGAGGCTGTTCCCTGCCCTGGATCCCCTCCCTTTCCATCAGTACTCCCATTCCAGGATGCAGAGTCTTCACCTACCCCACAGTTAGCACCAGTTTTAACCCAGCCCTCCCAGTACTTGCCCTAAAAAGCAAAGCAATCCTGGGTCCCAGAAGATGGCTACACTTGTGTTCACTGCAGTCAGAATGAAGCAAGCTGTATTGACCACGGGCAGCACAAATCGTTCTGCCGTTCACTCGTCCATATATTGATTTAGCTCTGGGCACCCAGTTCTATGGAAGGTCACCGCTCTTAAAGGTTCCAGAGCAGACTTCCCAGGCATTTCAGTTGCCTGCACCCTGGACAGCAGCCGTGGCATTTTAAACTCAAGCTTCAGAAACAGTGGATTCCAGGTGCTAATTTCACATCTACCCTTCTACTGAAGGGGGAACGGCCCTCTCAAACCCCACAATACTGGTTTGGTGTGTGTGTGTGTGTGTGTGTGTGTGTGTGTGTGTGTGTGTGCTATCTTTAGATGACTGTGGTCCCAATCTGGTTATTAATAGTCAAATCAGTACTGGAACTGTTTACAGCAGGGGTGAGATGACCAAATGTGGAGGTTTGAAGCTGAGATGTAGAAACTGTCTATGTTCAAATGCTGACTCTGCTAGCTATGTTAACCACCAGGAAGTCATTCCACACCCTGAACCAAATCCCTTGTCTATAAAGTCATGGATATGTACAGTTCCGCAGCTGGGGTGGCAACAGTCTCCACTGGCGTTTCAGAGTCCACAAATGTACCGCCAGGACCAAGAAGCACTCTGTGAGACACACAGAGGTCAGAGCAAGAGAAGCCACATCCCCAGAGGCTCTGAAGATACTTCCTCAGCCAGGGGTTATAGGTTCTCCTCCAACGTGGAGGGCAGAAAATTGTATGCAGGGAGTGGGGCGAGGAGATGGGGGACACACCAGGTCACGGCCAAGTCAGTGTGGCAACAAGTGAAGGATGGCTTTCTGGACACACCAGGGACAGGTGACTGGCCTTAGCCTATCCTACAGAGTCAACCCACTCCTTTAAGGAGAAAAGGACTCGTTGTTACTCTGTACTTAGGTATCACTTATTTCTTATAGGTAGCTATGTACAAAGTCTCCATATATCTATGTTCATGCCTTATGAATGCTCTATCAAGTTTGTAGGGAAAGAACAAATACGTTTAGGCACCAGAATGTGCTCTTCCCCACTCTCGCACCTCTGAAATTGACTCCTTTGGTCCTTAAGACCGTGTTTTACATTCCTGACCTCCCTCCAATTGGATGCCTTTTCCTTACAATAATGAGCTTGGCTCAAACCAAGACTCTACTCATAGATTCCTCTTGCTCTGCTATTCCCCACAACTTGTCAATATGTGTCTCACCCTCAACTGCGAGCACTCTGCAAGGCCTTCAGCTACTCCTAGGCCACTCCTTCATGGGCAGCAGTGCTCATTCCATACTCTGCTGTACTATCATTTCCACACAGTGGGCCATCACCTCCTAGAAGGCAGGGATCCCATCGACTCAGTTCTCATTGCACGCCCTCCCAAATAGCTACCACAGACAAACGTGAGTGCTCACTGAGTAAGACAAAGGATGAGATGGAGTTTGCTTCATTTACCCCAGTCTCTAGTGAGAATCGCCCTCTGTCACCAATGACCTTTTTCTTGGAACCCATCTCACTCTGAATCCACCCTCTCCTGGTTTGTATCTCCTGAGTGGGGCTGGCGAGTATGCTGGTCAATGCTCCACGTCTTCTGCTGTGGTTTCTGTTGTCCTGTCTTAAGTGGTGTGAGCCCCCGGAGGGCCTCCTCAAGTTGGCTAGCATCCACTTCTCAGAAGTATTGTAATTCTATGTGTGGAGCACCACTGTTCAACATTGCCTGTGACAGGGTTCCTGAAAGAACTTGAATTTTTTTCTATATCCAGGCCATACCCCCAGGCAACTAAACTAGACCCTCACAGTTGGCTGGCTCATCAGCATTTTGTCCAGCACCCAGAGCATTCTAACATGCAGCCAAGTCTGGGAGCCATTACACTTAAAACAAGCAAACAAGACAAGAAACAAATAAAGCCCAGAGAATCAGGCATTTGGTATGTGAGCTACATACATTTTGCTTTGGCCCTGCATATGCAGTCAATTTTCAGCTATGGCAGTTCTATGGAACCATTGCAAACATGGAACACTGAAACACTGTGTCCAAGGGAAATGCAGAATTGGGCTACTACAAACCAGACACATCTCACTTTGTACATGCTTCTAAAGGACGCCTTAGTTAACACACATTTAATGCATACCATTGGTCCATTAACACTGAGCTCATGGTCAATAGCACTGTAGCTCATGCCCAAATGAGGCAACTGAAGGCATAGTTTCTCCCTAGGGCACACTAACTCCTTCCTAAGAATAGGAACATAGACAGGCAGCACTTCAGGAAAATACTTAGGGGCCATCAGAAAGACTGAAATCCCACAAACATCCCTAGATGCAAAACTATGGCCCTAAAATAGACTGAGAAAAGGATGATTTGTTTACAGTACGAGAGCTGAAACAGGAAGGCAAGCATAGCCTTGTTTCACCTCTGCTGGCATCAAGGCTTCGCACCTGTGAACAGCTGGGGAGAGCCAAGTACGAATTTAGAGGTTGCAGGTAAATTTTAGTAAAGTAAGCAGACCCACAAAGATGAAATCTACAATCAGTGATGAATGGACATATCAGGACAAACCTGAATTTCAGTTCTATTAGGGTCAAGATTCGTGTGTGTGTGTGTGTGTGTGTGTGTGTGTGTGTGTGTGTGTGTGTGTGTGTGTGTGACAACTGTTCAGGAGTTGGGTCTTATCTTCCACCTTGTTCACAACTCACAGTCTCTCTTGTTATTCCTGCTGCTACTGCATATGTGCGCTTCCAGCCGATTCTCCTTCTATGACCCCATAAGAGTGCTAGGATTAGAGAGGCGAGCCACCAAATGCTGCTTTGATACTACGGGTTGTAGGGCTCAAACTCAGGTCATCAGGCATGTACAGCAAGGGTTTTATACCTGCTGGTGTCTCACTGGTCATCAAGATCTTTTTAAACAGTTCCTGGTAGAGGTTGACATCACTAAATTTAAGTTCTAGAAGAATGAAGAACTGACTTGCCTTGATGACCTTCAGCACACAACGTAGAGAGGGCAGAACCCGCTGGGTAACACATGCTTATCATGATGCCCATCACGTGGACACAGCCATCCCGCAGGAGAACCGTCTGATCTGCAGCCTGTCGCCTGCTCGGTTGTATTTCTGTACAACTGTTTTATCCCACTGTGTCCATCCCATGAGACACCCATGCAGTAGGTGTCTCATAAGTACCCACTTGATGAACTCATGCTGTAATATTCGGTAACCATGGATGAATGTGTAACGCATGTTTTCTGACTCTAAGTCTAAGAGAACAGACTTCAGGCAAAAATACAAGACTCCAGGATTTTTCCATACCAGCCCTCTGGGTTGTGGCAGCAGAAACAAATTCTAAGCCACGCTTGTTCCCATGTTAGTGCATCCTTGATGCCAGTTTTCTTGTTTCATATGAAAAGAAGTTAAACTCTGGACACAGAGGGACAAAGTGGCCTTCTACCGCCCAATGAGCACTCGAGCAAAACAGGCAACCACCAACTTGGGATTTTATAAGTTTGTTCCAAAAACAACTTTAGAAGGCGCGTAACACAGCACGAATCCTAATAAAAACTAGAATACTAAAACCAAACCCAAAGAAATCACATGTCAGAAGCTTGAAAAGGAAGACTAAAGAATGAGGCTGATCCACAGGAACGCATCCCAAGAAGTCCTACGCATCATCTCAACTTGGCCGGAAATTTGGAGTCTAAACTCCTTCCTGATTGTCTGAAAGAGGAAAATAAGATCAGCGACTAAGTCCGCCACATCCATTAAAGGAAGGGGGCAGGGGAGAGGGGAAATAGTGGGGGAGGCGGGGATAAGGAAGCAGTGGCAACATCAGCCACAAAAGTAACCCTACTTGTCCCCCATAAAAGCCACTCTGTGTGCTTTCAAAAGCCCTTTGGCACCCCAAATCTTCATTCCATCACTCTCTCCTGACCTGAGGTCAGGGAATGTGCAATGCGGGGTCCATGTAGCACAGAGACTTGTGAAACAGGGGCCTATTAAACATGTCCCTCCAATTATTTCTCATCCCTCTAAGGCTGTTTATAGGAAACAATATTGACTTTAATAGCATATTAAATGCCAAGCTCAGTGAGTGAAAGGTTAAAAGAGACCATGTGCTAATAAACTAATGCAAAGAGAAAGCACAAATTACATAGGAGGGGCTCTCACACACACACACACACACACACACACACACACACACACACACAAAGAGAGGAAGAGAGAGCTTCACTACAGTTTTAACTGGAGCATGGTGTGAAACACAAAGCCAGAGACGCTGAGTGTACTCACACACCCATAACAAAACCAAAATCATTCCACATGCCATGTTCTATTAGAGGCACGTGGACCTGAGCTCTTGGTTATAAAGACACTAAGAATGCCAGAGAAATCGCAGCTTCCATGAAGCACTCAGGATACAGCATCCAGTCTCAGGTCTGCTGTGAACCAGCGAGGCGTCCTTGGCTAAGGTATGTCACTTCTGTGGACTCCTTTCCCCAGAACTCACAACAGTGACACCAAACACTGTCTTAGTGCCAGGCAGGGTTCTAAATGAGTAAGTGTCATTCCTCCGATGGCCCTGTAAGGACTGAAACTGTTATAGACAGACATGGAATCATCAGGTCCATGGAGGTGGCTGAGGTGAAAATCTGTAAAGAACTGTGTTCAGTTCACAGAGCGGTCACTCCTGAGCCCATTTGAACTTCGATGCACAAATCTCAGCCTTACCGAAGAGTCCACCTTCAAGCTTGAAGCTCAATGCTGCTTTT